AGGCTAAGTCGATTTTGTCGGCAAATAAGGTGATGGCTTCAGTATTCTGGGACTCGAAAGGTCTGATTATGATTGATTATCTTGAAAGGGGTCAGACTATAAACTCTGATTACTACTGCACCTTACTACGTCGTTTACGAGAGGAAATAAAAGAAAAACGTCGAGGAATGCTCAGAAGAAAAGTCCTGTTTCATCAAGATAACGCCCGTGTTCACACGTCAGTACAGTCAATGGCTGAAATTCACAACTGTGGCTTTGAACTGTTACCGCATCCGCCGTATTCACCTGATCTGGCACCATCAGACTTCTTTCTGTTCCCTAACCTAAAAAAGCACTTGGGAGGTCAAAGATTTTCGACAAAAGACGAGGTCAAAGCAGCTGTAGACGCATATTTTGACTCTAAGGAAGAATCATTTTTTTTCAACGGTCTAAATGCTTGGAAGGGGAGGTGGCAAAAGTGTATTGAACTTGATGGTGATTATGTAGAAAAAGAAAAATATAACTGATTTAGTATGTGTTTATTTTCTTGGTTAGGCCGAGTACTTTTCAATCCACCCTCGTAGGCTATGATGCACACCCTAAAGGCTTTTTAGTATAGTTTACAAGAAATTCTTCTTTAATTTTTGAGGTTAATTTGAAATATAAATATCCTGTGGCACAATTTCATTAATGATTTTCATCTAATTGATGTGAAATAATGTATGCCCTAAAGCTTATTAAGAGGAAAAATGTACTTCACACGAATCTATTTTTTTAAGTTTTGAATTGTATGTATTTCATCGCTTTTAATTTTGATTTTTAATTCCCAACATTTCAAGTGCTTTACAGCACCCATGGTCACAAGGGGACTGAGCTGTTTGACATCTGACATTTTGAAGAATGTTGATCCAAGATCCAATATTTCATTTAATAAATCATTAAGATATTGATATTTGGTATGATCTAAAGCAACAAATCAATCCAAGAACCCATCAAATTGCCGATCATATCCCCTCTATGAGGCAACCTATAGCAGAGGCCTACTTTCAGCAGTGGACTTGTGATGTTGTAATGATGATGATGATAATGAAAGAAAATTATATTTAAGTACTAAAAAAAACTTACAAAACTGTCTCCAAAACCGCTACTGATTTTCTGAATAGGCACTGTTGTGTTCACATTCATTGAAGTGATAGGTAAACTACTTCCAAATGTACTTTTCAGAATTGCAGAATTCTCTGGTGGCTTAGGTCTTGCTGGTTTTGCACGGATTATTGTAGGGCCCTTCAATACTGTATAAGTAGTCTGAGTGTTGCTTGTTAAATCAAATGGATCTCTACTTAAAACCGGTTTCTTCATGATAGTAGGCTTTTGCAGTACAGGCTGTGGTGAAAAAGGGTCCACTGACACCAAATCATCTAAAGTATCTTCTTTGTTTATATGTTTTCTATTGTTTAAAAATAAATCAAAATCATCTTCAAAGCCACTCTCGGGCTGCGACACATTACCACTATTGAGAAGATTGTGTTGGTTTGTAGAAGTGGTAGCATCTGAACCAAAGCTATCTACACTAAGCCCATCACTACTTGACCGTGTTGTAAATGTTGGTGAACTGGGTGGTGAAGACAGATCAATCAGGGCCCCTGTTTGCACATTCCGGGTTTCACACTTAGGAAACATTTTGCTTGTATCCACTTCACTATTCATTTCGGTAAACACAGTCTGTTGCTTAACACTAGTATTTTGATGATTTACTGTAGCTTTTCCACGTGATAAGAGGGATGATAGGACTGTGGGCTTTCTTATGAAATGGGAAGGCTTTGCTGGGATATCGGGTTGTTTTGATAGTTTTGGTGGTGGTGGACGTGGTGGTGGTTTCTTCTTTTGTGCATACTGGGGAGATGGTTCAAAAACATCTGCTCCAAAAGGATCATCATTCCAGTTTGTCACCGGTGAATAACGATTCACACCATTCAGTACAGGCACAGATGGAGCAGGCCTTGTTGGACCCTTCATACCTGCCAATAAAACGACACATCAAAATCAAAATAAGTTAGTAAAACCTTACTTTACAATTATTTTTTTTAAAAACTCTTTCTGTTTCTTATTTTAGTAGTAGATAGTAAAATATCATAGAGTAGAATTAAATACAATAATTAAAAAACATGTATTTGCAAATAAACTTAAAACTAACAACCAAGAAACCTTACTAATATTGTAATTATAAATTAATGCAGCTGATAAGATACAAGAAACAGGAAAAAATGTCTAAACAGCTTTGCTATCAAAAATAAACTGACGTATAGGACAATAACTAAATGAATAAAGCTCACAGTGATAAACACTGATAATATGAGATCCACCCACTAACGTACATTTAAGCACAGCGCTTTGCGTGGTATTGTATTAGCAATCGCACGAAGTACCAGGTACGGACAGAACGACCTTGATTGATAGTGCAGTAATAACACATAAAGGTTCCATTTCTTACAATATATTTAAACACATGTGTACTGAACATGATAAAGTTATGGACAATTAGATTATAAGATGTAAATTACGTACCGTGCTTAAACAGATCCATTAGAAAATTATCTAATAATTATATTTCCAGCAAAACAAAAATTTATTGGCTATTCGTTAATAACAATCTACAAAGAACTTCGAACTTAATTAAAACATTCTAGGATTTATGAGATCTCCTTTCCAGTCTAATAGCAATCATTCTTGTAAATAGTAAAATGCTCTCGTTAAAAAGTTTAAGTTCTGTGAACTGCGTAGTCAGCCCCAACCTCAATTCAGTTCACCAATCCAAAACCAAAACTTGAACCAACGAAACTAAACAAACGAACGTCCAAGACGAATGATGACTCACATCACACACTGCTGTCAAGGTGTCAAGCCCTGTGCTGTCAAAATTAGTGTCAAGTGTCATTGTCAATTGTTGTTTTTATTAGTCACTCGAGAGAGCACGCAAAGGAACTAAGCCATACAGCCTTCTCTTTTTTTAATTTGAATATATAGAATTTTGAAGAGTAAAGGCCTGAACTAAGTCTTATTTTTCTTTTTTCCATCTATTCAAAATCCATAAAGACTGAAGTCAAGTCTTATTTTCTTTAATTCTTCATATTTTCAAGAACCACTAAGGCTAAAGCCAAGCCTTCTTTATATTATAATCTTTATAAGTTTCAATCCATATAGATTCATCAGTCCAGTTTCAAGATTCCCGTGCTTTTTTTTCTTTCCTTCACAATATGCTGATGCGTCACGTTGCGAAGCCCTTGGGAAATTTTGACGACAGCTCAACCATACCTCAACCAATAAGGCGCCTAAGTGATCAAAATAACTTGAGGTTTATATCGACATCAAAGCACTTGTTTCGTCGTTTTCTCTAATATTTCACACGCGTAGACAATTAATTCACAAAATCACATCACTTTTACGAATCAAAATCCACTTCAAACCTTTATTCAAGCGACAAAACTGGAGCGACAATCCGTCGACGACCAAGTTCCCGCCAACCTCCTGTTCGAGATGTCAACTGTCTAAACCTCAGAGTAATTTACGTATGTCTCAAAGTACTAGCACAGAGAGAGTTCTAAAAAAAGAACAACATTCTTATACCTAAACTATGGAGTGTAGAAGTATGGAGTACCAACTCCTATAGTAGAACAGCTGCAAAAGTGCCCATCTGTAAGCAGTAAATAACAGTTCAAAAACTATCAAAAACTCTCCACAACAGCGCTGGAGTAGCTACTGGGATGAAATAAACTTAGCAGTTGTCGACGGTTTAAGTGTGGTGCTAAACTGCTCAGTAGCTCTAAAATCTAAAATAATTTTATTTAGTGAATATAACCCCGAAAAAGTCGTCTATCCCACTAATATTTTTCGGTGCGTTCTTTAAAATTTACCCCGTAGTTATAGTGGCGCCACCCTTATTTAATGATTTTTATGGACACTTTTATACACAGTCTGTACTCCTTCTACACTCCATAACCTGAACTCTTTATACATATTATGATGCTTAACATAGTACAAAATATATATAGTCATATTATTCTCAACTTCTTTTTTTTAAAGATTATTGCCGTTTTTCCATTCCACTGACACTTCTATTGACGTGCCATTAACGGGGGAAAAAACTTGGTCGATAAATTTATTTAGCTATGACTTAGTAAAATTAAATATTTTTTACTAATCCGGTTCGCAATACATATTTATATCAACGAAATTTTATAGGAGCTTCTTCTGACATCTTACTACAAAAACAGAGTCTAATAATGTGAAATTAAAGGTCAATAATAAACCTACTTAAATTCAGAAGGTATATTTCCGCCAAATTATTCTTTCAGTTATATTGTGTTTTACAAAGAATAATAATTGTGTTTGTTCAATCGACACTACGTTTGCTTCACGGAACCTACACAGAGGGCTGTGCTACGATCGTTCGAATGAAACCAGTACTACCAAAATCATTTGCAAGTACTGTCAAACAAAATCAGAATACAAAGGAATTTGTGGCCACGAAACAGGGGACATCTGCTACCACAGATGTACAAGCCGAGGAAATGAGTGGTATAAAACCCAATACAGAAGAAGAAATTAAGAAGAAAGAGACAGAGAAGAAAAAAGAAAGTGAAGAAAGAAAAAAGTTGCAGTTTAATTCATGTAATTGTGTAACGCTAACTTTTACTAGCGCACGCAATCCCGTTATATTATATTAACATTACAATCCCTATATAGGTGTTCGCTGGATGGAGTAGCTATGGCACGTGTGAACGAGGTTAAGGATTTGGGTGTTCGTTCCACCTCAGAACTTAATTTTCTAAATCATATAGTGTACATCTGCAAGAAAGCGTATCACAACTTAGGTTTTATACTGCGCAGGGCTCGTTGTTCCACTAACTTTAAAGCCATTGTAGCATTGTATAACGCCAGCTTGAGTTCAACGCGGTTATTTGGACTCCACATGAAATGAAATGTAGCCTCATGGGGTTATAGTATATATAGTATTAGGTAACTCAGAAGATCACCAGCCAAGCGACTGCGAAAGAAACCGTACTGGCGGTCACTAATAAGCTGGTGATCCTCAAGGTACCGCATGAGCTGGCTATTAATAATGGATTCCATTGTTTTCGATAACAAGGAGGTGATGGCGATAGGCCCATATTTGGACGGAGCAGAGTGGTTACCATTTTTAGGGATCGGGTGCTCAGAAGCTGAAGACAGCTTTCGGTCTTCCATGATTTCTGGACTACGCCTAGGGAGTTGGAGTACCGGAAAAGACGCGTTAAAACCGGTGTTAGCTCCGGAGCACACGTCTTCAGCAGAATGTGAGGGACGCCATCAGGTCCACTCAACTTGTCCAGGGAGAGGAGTGCTCTGCGCACCGAGCGTTGGGTAAACAACACATCCTGCATGAAGTACTCACACCGCGGTATGATTGGTGGTGTGCTTCCCCCGTCATCAATAGTCGAGTTGGACGCAAAAAGAGAGCCCAGCACATCGGCTTTTTCCTTTGCGGCATGGGCCAGTGAGTCATCCTCCCCGTGCAGAGATGGGAGAGATGGCTGACGGAAGTTCCCTTGGACAGGCTTGGCGAGAGACCAGAATGCACGTGTTCCCGAAGGAAAACGAATTAGTTTCTCGCCAATTCTGCTGATTTGCTCTAACTTTGCCTTGACAATAACACTTGAAGGACCTGGAGGCAGAATTATACTTCTTTTTAAGAGTGCTGGTATTTGCATCCCTAGAGATCGATGCGCGAGCCCAGGCCTGATAGCACTCTTGTTATAACGTAATGGAATTTTGCAGGAGTGACTAAACCATGGCTGGTTTCTGCCTCCGATAGGTACCACAGATAATGGAATAAAAAGTTCCATTCCCTGTAGCACCACATCAGCGACAGAATCAACAACAACGCTGGAATCGTCCGGCGAGAAGCAAACCAGTTGCCAAGGGAAGGATGCAAAAAAAGATCGCATCCCGTTCCAATTGGCTGACCTATAATGCCAAACACGGCGGCAACCTGCAGTACGCAAGCACGATGGGAGCGTGAGTGGCACCGTACTCCGGATCAGACAATGGTCCGAGGAGCCAAGAGGAGCATCGACGGAGACCTGATATCCCTCCGAATGAAAGGTCAGTAGAAGTTCCAACAGGGAAGGTACATGATCATCCACATCATCATCAGTAACCAGTTGTGTCAGCCATATGCCAAAGCAAAGTCGTAAACAGATCTACCCGCATGATCTGTTAAACGAGAACCAAGCCATTCAGCGTGGTGGGCGTTAAAATCACCAAGCATCACCATCTCTGCAGATGGGACCTGTTGTAGTATGAAGTCTGCAGCCAACTGGACGTGGTCGACCCGAAGACGCGGGGATAGTCGTCGCTGTCTACGCGCAGCCATAAGACTGATAGGTCCGTACCTTCAAGGCTGCTGAGGCGTCGAAAACGGATGTCCCCTCTAACGTACACACACAAAGGCGTGTTCTAATTTGTACCCCGGGTAGTGGAAATACGAAGTATCAGCCGGAGAGGGCACATGTATCTCGGTTAGAAAGAGCAAGGCTGGCTTCGCCGTTTCCAGATGGTAGTTGACGGCGTTAAGGTTTGAATGAAGTCCCTAATGTTGCAGAAATTCACGGATAGCGTGGCAGTTTGGCCACGCTATCCGTGACCTTTGGCTTATTGCTCCATTTGCCCCGAGCAGGTTTAGTCTCGAGCGGAATTTTGCCCCCCTCCCGAGAATACGCGGGGCAGCCTGAGCACTCACGCTCAGGAGTGGAGTAGCTTGGTCGTATATGACATCAGCGAGGGATTCTCCAGGGGTGCTGGTACCATCCTGGGGTACCATGTTTATGGGGGGGTAAGATTGGGCCTCCGGCCACCTGCACTCACCAGACGAAACGCAAAAGGAGAGCCTCTTCTTCACGCTGGTTTTGTGTGAGGTCGTGTTACCACCCCGGTTCAAACCGGCCCATAAGTGCAACAGCAAGGCTGCGGCGTGGCTCTACCACTGTCAAAAGGGTTACTCTCCGTTCTCAATTTTAATACCTTCAGCGCTTCTTGAGTAAACCCTGGTCAGCCATTGAGGAATCTGTGCCACTTAGTCGATGTCCGTGGTGCAGTACCTATCTTTTCTAGTATCTGTTTGTTTTCTTCATTTATCAAAAATGTATCTATCAGCGAATCTAGTATTTCTTGCAAACTTGTAACTTTTTTCTTTAAATACCGTTACTGCGATTGTACGGTGCAACCGCACATATCACCCGATCAGCATTTTTGCCTCATACACTTATTTTTATTGTTCATCGAATCAGTTCACATAGCATTGCCACACAGCGCGTTCGTGTACTCATCATTAGCTATTAGCAGTTTTTAAATATATTTTCTATTTTACCTCAAGCAGCATATTTTATTTATATCATCAGCAGCAGTATTTTAGGTGTAACGTACATCGTTGTGGTCCTTCGAGCTTACCGTGAGAGGGACCTCTGTCGCGAGTGACCTAATTTGAATTGCGAAAGCGGTACGCGCCACGTAAGTCAAACAGCGGCACATTGGTAAGTCTACAGCTCTCTATTATAATCAGCAACAGTACAGTAATTGTTCAAAATGGAAGATCTTCTAGCTAGCCAGAACCAAATAATGGGAGCTATGGATCAGCTCCTAATCAACTTTAAAAAAGACTGTGCCGACCGCAAGACACCGGCTCAGATTAAAAAGCGACTTAGCACTTTAGAAAGTTATTGGCAGGAGATTCAAAGTAATCATTTAAAGCTTTTTGAGTCTGACGATAAATCTCATGAATATTTTACTGGCAATTACTATAAAAGAACGTCCGATTTTTATAACGAAACGCGTAATTATATTCTTAGTTATTTACCGAGTGACTCTAAAGAAAAAAGCCTTCTCAGGCCAGCTACCCCATTGCAAAAGACAGGCTTTTCAGCTATACCATCTGCCAGCGCGCTCCGTCCTGAAACTACAGCTGACGCAGAAGCATCTCGAACCCAAGGTACTAGCAGCAAGTTAAAGGATATGTTGAGAAAGCAGAGAAGCAACTTCAAAGCTTTTCAGCGAAAGGAAGCGACAGTAGCCTAATTGGCAGGGCGCGGACCGCGAACTCAATAAGGTCGTGGGTTCGATTCCGCCATTCGACTACTGGCGTGAACCACTCGTAACACAAGCAATTTAAGCTTACCACGAGTGGTTAAGGTGAATGAGAATTTATCCGTTGGGAGACACCATTGAGGTCATTGAGCATAGCGCTTAGGTCCTCCAGCGATTCTGCCATAAGGACTATATCGTCGGCAAATCGAAGGTGAGTGATGTACTCGCCTGTTCAGTAGTAGTGTTCAGTAGTAGTTCAGTAGCAAAAATAGTGCACAAGAATTGATGTTAATACCGTATCCTTTCCAGTCCAGTAGCTTGAAAACGTCTTCCAATGCAGCGGTGAAGAGTTTCGGGGATATAACGTCACCTTGTCTTACACCTCTCTGCAGTCGGATAGGTTCCGAACTCTGATTCTGTACTCGGATAGCCATCGTAGCCCTACTGTACAAACACTTCAGCACTTCGATATACCGACAGTCAACTTGGCACTGCTGAAGGGACTGTAGCACCGCCCAAATTTTCGACGGAATCAAAGGCTTTCTCATAGTCCACATAAGCCAGGCAAAGTGGCAGATTGTACTCTTCGGTCTTCTGTACAATCTGCCGCAGGGTATGTATGTGGTCTATGGTACTGAAGCCTTTTCGGAAACCGGCTTGTTCGGGAGGCTGGAAGTCGTCGAGTCTGCGTGCGAGAGAATTCGTAATGACTCTCGAAAACAGCACGTAGACGCGGCTCAGAAGGGAAATCGGTCTGTAGTTCTTCAAGAGAGCGTTGTCGCCTTTCTTAAAGAACAAGACCACCACACCTCTGCTCCACGCCGCCGGAGTAGTGCCACCATGGAGGACGGAATTGAAGAGCTTCTGAAGAACTTCAAGTACCGGTGTTCCACCCGCTTTCAGGAGCTCCGCTGTAATTCCATTCTCGCCTGGGGCTGGAGAGCCATTCTAATCTCGCTCAGACTGACGTCCGGGATATCATCGGAATAGCGGAAATATCTAAGGTAGAAATCACAAACGACTTCATCATGTCAAGCGTCATAGCGAATAATGTCCTTTCAAATCTGCGTAATATCCAAGATACCCTCCTAGATACGATCACTAACCTTCAACATTTTAACGCTCATCTGCTGGAAGACGAACTAAGCGCAATATCAAGCAAACTATCAAATAATTTGTCATTACCAATATAGCACCCAGAGTAATTTATACAGCCTATACAAAATTTTGAGGGTCAAAGCTAGAATGACAAACCAGTATTTCATTTTTGAAATTCATATGCCCCTCACTAATAGAAATGACTATGACATTTACAATGTAATACCTCTTTATCATCAAGTTGCTAACTCATCACTCACTATGATAAACATGATACCGATTGCAGATCACGTAGCCATAAACCTGAAGAAAGATACGTTCATATCTGTGATTCACAACGACACTCAGAACTGCATAGAATATAATAATAATGTTTATTCGGATTATCTTTGCCAGCTTCAAACGCCCGTCTACGAGAGACAGACGGACGAGAGCCTTTGTATTAAAAACAAACAATCAAACACTTGTAAAATTATCAGCAGCGCGTGTCAGACTACATGGCGAAAGCTTACAAGTGCCTAATCAATCAGTGCATAAAAACACTTCCCCAATTTTACTTAAATGTAATTTTAGAAAAACTCGTTAAATAATTTCGTGTAATCATCTTATCATATATTATAATATGTATGATTTACTGATATATTATATCAGTAAATCATATCATATTATTAACTTTAGCTCATCTCGTAGTCATCTCGCCCATCTTCTCGCCCGGTAGCATGTACGGTGCAACCGTACATATCGCCCGATCAGGATTTTCGCCTCATACACTTATTTTTATTGTTCATCAAATCAGTTCATATAGCATCGCCACACAGCGCGTTCGTGTACTCGTCTAGCTATCAGCAGTTTATTTTCTTATTTACCTCAAGCAGCATATTTTATTTATATCATTAGCAGCAGCATTTTTGGTGTAACGTACGGCGATTGAAGCCTTTTTTATTCTATTAATATTTATTTCGAGGCGCCTTTTTAGTTTAATTTTCCTTGTAATTGTAGAGTCTGTTCGTTTAGATCCGATCGTACATCACTACATTGCGGTACTTTCGTTTGCAGTGATACCAGTTTATTAAGCTATTGCATAGCTTCTATCGCGGGCCTTGAGCGCGGGGACCGAATCCAGAAATTCCGTAACGAAAAAAAACCTCACGCTCCCCACTCCGACGGGCACAGAGGTGTGGCGTTGAAAGCCGTGCATCGTCTAACGTCGTTTTAGTTCGGCAGACTTCGGCACTCGGCAGACTTCGGCACGGTGTTTGTGTGCGTGTACACTAGCTGCTAACTCAATGATAAAAATTCCTGAATAACCTACATGTATTGTAAGATATTAAAAATATTTTAAACAATATTAACTTCTCATTTATTCAATAAGAGAAAAAAAATTGTTTTCTTATCGGTCACCACGCTCAAAAAGTGTAACTTGATTTAATATCAAAGACTTAACTGCATAAATAAAATAAATAAATAATTATAATTGCATAAGTTGATAAAAAATGCTATGCAATAGCTTTACCGCGGCAGTCACCGAGTGCCACACGTATTTATTTTATTAAAATTGCATACATTTGCTACGAAGTGGCAAGTATCGATTCGACATTATTTTGTACAATGTTTTGATAAATACTAGTTATAGATTACATTAAAATATATAATATTCCGAAATATATAATATTCCGTCTCTATGGAAATTAGGATGATTTTTATTTCAACAGCCTCACGTATCATCCTTGGTAGGAATTGGTGTTCTTTCGCGAGGATTTTTGGTCTATCAAATAATAATAATAATAAAAATAAAAGCCAGCCGGGACCTTTGCGAGACGGACTCAATTCTTTTTGGCGCCGCACTGGCGGTATGCCGTATTATTGGCGCCAAACTTCACATGGCTGGACGTGCTACTCAACAAAGTAGTGCCATCCCAGCCTGGAGAAAAAGAATCGAGGACCGTATCGCAAAGGCAAGGGCCCTTATCGGCAGACTGACAAGCTTCAGGTCGGGTAATAACAGACCGAGAGTTGTGCGCACCGTTAGAATGGCGTTTGCTGGGACAAATATTAGTTTGTCCCAGCCGGATATCACGCAGAAACTAACGGAGCGCATAGATGACCTGAAGCAAAAAATCGCTGCTTGGGGGAAGCGGATTCGACGATTTAGCGAGAGGTCAAGGCGGTTCAACCAGAATCGTCTCTTCCAGAGTGATCAGAAGAGGCTCTATAAATCATTGGAGCGACCAGAGGTATGTGGAGCGGGCCCAGGACCGGATCAGGCTGACACTGTCGCATTTTGGCGTGGCCTGTGGTCAGAGCCCGTAAACCACAGCGAGGGCCCTTGGATGGAAGTTGTGGCGAGCCAGAGTGCAAGTGTTACGCCTATGGACCCCGTCACCATAACGCCTGAAGACGTGGCTGAGGCGGTCCGTAGGGCCCTGAACTGGAAAAGTCCGGGGCTCGACGGGCTGGCTGGCTGAAGGGGTTAGTAGTGTGTCATGCTGTGCTCGCCCGACAGTTTCAAGAGGCTCTCGATCAGAAGTCGCTCCCGAGCCTCTTCACTACTGGGATCACTCACTTGGTTCCTAAAGATCAGGATACCACAGACCCGAGCAAATACCGCCCCATCACGTGTCTACCCACCATATATAAGACACTGACATTCATTTTGAACGCGAGAATCACTCGTCACCTAGAGCTAAATCAGGTGATGACACGCGCTCAAAATGGATGTCGGGGCGGTGGTCGTGGAACCAAGGAACCACTCCTCATTGACGCGGTCATTGGCAAAGTGGTGAAACGCAACCGTCGGAACTTCTCCGCCGACTGGTTAGACTACAGAAAGGCATTCGACTCGGTGCCCCATACATGGCTAAAGGGAGTTCTCCAGCTGTACAAGATTGACTGTACAGTTGGAGACTTCCTCAAGTTTCTCAAGTTTCTTCCTCCTTCCTCCAGTGTATGGGGTAGTGGAGTACAATCCTTTGCTATCTGGGCGAGCGGATGATGGCTGTGGAGAACCATGTAAGGATAAAAAGGGGTATCTTCCAGGGCGAATATCTGAGTCCAATCTGGTTTTGCCTCTCTCTGAACCCTCTCATTACTTTACTAGAGGGCTCCGGGAGGGGATTTCAGCTTCGGAAAGGAGGTACAAAAGTGACCCACCTTTTCTATATGGATGACCTCAATTTATTCGCCTCCAGTCGCTCCCATCTTATGGAATTGCTAAACATCACTTGTGAATTTAGCAATTCTATTGGAATGGAGCTGGGGACGGATAACTGTGCGGTCCTCCATGTTGAAGGGGGGAAGGGTTGCTAACTCGGAGGACATAGACTTATCTATTCCCTTCAACTTAAGGGCCCTTTCCGAGGCTGAAACATACCGATATCTGGGTATGTTCAGAACATCGGTATCGATGAGGCTGGTATGAAACAGTCAGTTTGCGACGTGTTTTATGCACGTTTGACCAAAGTGTTTAACAGTCTTTTGTCCAGGTGTGAATAAGACACATGCATATAACGGTTGGGTCATGCCTGTCCTCATGAATACCTTTGACATACTCAGGTGGAGTCAGACTGAACTTAACGCCCTGGATAGAAAAGTCCGCATTATCATGACGTCCCGTAGGATGCATCATCCGAGATCGTCGGTAATGAGGCTGTACTTGCCGCGAAAGCATGGTGGGCGTGGCTTTCAGGCATGTCATCTCCGGTTGTTCGGTGCTTTCTAACTCTGAGTACTTGCACAGGCACAACCTAGTAGCCAGAATTTTATACCAGGAGCTCGCTCTGAAAGTGCCGTATTACAAGTACTTGCCGGAAGCCGAGTTCGAAAAGACCGCGCCAGGCTCTACTGGGACCGGGGCATCATTACAGACAGGACTATTCTTGCGAATAGGCCCGATATTGTGCTGATGGATCGGACACACTCAAGGATATTTTTGGTCGACATTACCATTCCGTATGACGAGAACCTCCTGAAAGCCGAAACAGATAAGCAATCAAAATATCTGGACCTGGCTCACGAAGTGGCCGACCTGTGGAGTGGTCTGCCGACCGAAATTATTCCTGTAGTCGTTTCTGTAAACGGGTTAATCCCAGCCAGTCTCTCGGGCCATCTGAGACGACTGGGACTCCGTGACGGACCGCTCCGGGCTCAAATGCAAAAGGCTCCTCGATACCGCCCGCATCGTCCACCGGTTTCTTTCCCTTTCCCCCTAACCCTCGGCCGTTTGGTCTCCCCTGCCGAGGGCTTCTATCTGGTTGAGCTTTTATTTATTTATGTATTATTTATTTATTTATGTTAGTATATTAAATATATATTTAAGTATATTTATTTTTCCTTTTATATATTTATCCAGCCCAACCAGATGTGATTACTCTATCAATAACCCAAAAATAATAATAACTCTAACCCTAAACCTAACCCTCAGCCGTTTGGTCTTCCCTGCCGATGGCTTCCATCTTGTTGGGCTTTTATTTATGTATGTAATTTTATGTAGTTGTTTTATTTTGTTGTTATTTATGTATATTTATCATTTCCGTTCGAAATTATATATTTATGGAACCCAACCAAATGAGAAAACTATATAGATCCTATATTCCGGACCGATACGACCTGGGGACCTTCAAGAAAAGAGCTTACTCCTTTCTAAAGGGCCTGCAATTCCCCTGGTGTTGCGGTTGATCATGGGCGGCGGTATTCACTTAACATCAGGTGAGTCGCATGCTCGTTTGCCCCCTCTTCTATAAAAAAAGATACCCCATAATAATAATAAAATTTATTTCAGCAAACACAATTGGTTACAGACATTAGTGGCCGGATTCTCCTTTTAAACAAACAATGCCTGTACCAGGTGAAATCTGATGTAAATGTTGGGGCTATCTAGGATATGATCACAAACTGCAGACTTCCCGGAACTTGATGCTTCACATCAGCTATATGTTCTTTTATGCGGGTTCTAATTGATCTTTTTGTTTGCCCTATATAAGAGAGACCACATTCACAATCAAGCTTGTGTACAGCTATCTTGCGTCTGTAGAAAGACACCTTTGACATGATATGGTAGTACAGCAAGCATACGCTCGACTGTGACCGGCTTCACTCGGTCACTGTGACCTAGGCGCGGGACCCGAAGCTTGTTGTCGTGCAGAACCTACTTGACGTGCTGAAGCTCGGCGGCCAGGTGTTTGCTGCCCTCGCCAATTCTGAATACCGTGGGCAAATCTTTGTTACAGAGAGCATGTAACAAGGATTTGCCCACGGTATTCAGAATTCAAGTACAGAGAATTTCCTTCCGCCGCTTTGTTGACTTTCACAGAAGGGAAGTAAACAGAGGGACTGGATTAATCAGTGGTATAACTAAATCATAAATAGTATGTATGGTACAACTTTCATTTCGTTCAATTTGTAAACCTCTCAAAAGGTCAATGGCCTGTGTCAGATCAATTAGTCAAAGAGCTGATATTATTGCGCTGCAGGAGACATGGCTGTTGCCCCATGAAATTCATGAACTGAGCAATGTAAATAAAGCTTTCGGTTATTTCGGCAAGTCAGCGGTTGATACGTCAGCAGGACTACCGCGAGGAAGACCATATGGTGGGGTGGCTCTTTTATGGAATAGCTCGAAATTTGAGTGTGTGTCCTTAATACCGTACGCGAGTGACCGTATAGTTGCAATTAAAACTTTGTGTTATGAGTCGTTCAATGCCAGTTTTTTACAGGCCCTCAAAATTTTATTTAGGCGAAATAGCTGCTATAGTGGAAAGCAACAATATTGAATCTGTATTTGTTTTGGGAGATTTTAATGCACGCCCAGGGGAGCTTTTTTGTAAAGAACTGATAAATTTTTGCAACGATCAAAACTGGGAGTGCATAGATCTAAAAACTTTAGGTTATAGTTCTAACAAAACACATATATTAGTGAAATAAATGGCAGTTGACGCTGGCTCGACCATTGTTTGATCACTGAGGCCGCCCGTAGTTCCGTTACTGACGTTACGGTGCATTATGATGTGTTATGGTCACACCATTTTCCACTTGAAATTCAATGCAATATTAAAACTTTGACACAGTCAACGGAGCTAGCGCAGGCCACTTTAAACAAAGTGATCCGTGGGGAACGTGATAAGCACCAAATTAATACCTACACTAAAGTTTGTAACAAAAAATTAACATTGACTTTCCCCATAAGCTAGAGAAGTGTTGTGATTCAACTTGTAATGATGTGAGCCTAATGTGCTCTACATTAACGTTATTGACAAATTGTATAGTAATATAATCTTATCACTCCAAGAGACCGCGGAGATTAGTTTTAATTATAGCCGAGGGGGAGGCAGTAGGAGAAGTGTTCGACACATTGCCGGGTGGAATAAATATGTACCAAGACGCTGTGCAAACATTTTTGACTTGGATATGGTACGGAAGACCCTCACGGGGTCCTATATATGATAACATATGTCGAGGAAACATTTTAAGAAAAATTAAAATTCTGTCAAAACAATGAAGAATTAATAAAATTAATATTTTAGCTACTTATCACAAAGATAAAGATTTTCGAAGCTTCTGGAAACACACCAGGAAATTAAGTCCAAAGCCTGGTGTACCGGTGAGCGTTGAGGGTATTCAAGACCCCAGAGATAGCTAACTAGTTCAGTTCTCATTTTAGAGTGCAGTCGCAGCTAAATGCACGGGATGCTGGTGTTGAGGTCATTGTATCCGGTGTGCCAAAACGTGTGACAGCTAAAGAGAATGAACAGTTAATTAAAGGTATAAAAAGAGGCAAGTCACCGGGTCATGACGGCCTCAGCATTGAGCACTTCGTGTATGCTGGGCCGCACCTCCCGAGGCTACTAGGCTTGCTATTTAATTTCTGCACCAGACACTCATACCTACCTGTAGAGTTGATGAGATCGGTCGTTGTTGCTATTGTTAAGAATAAAACTGGAGATATATCCGATAAGACCAACTATCGACCGATTTCATTAGCTACCATCACAAGAAAATTACTTGACGGTCTGGTTGAGAGACATCTCAAACGTCACCTGGTTCTACACGACGCTCAACTCGGTTTCAGGCCTAAACTGTCAACTGAGTTTTTTGTTGTGGCCATTTTGGTTCTCAAGCATACTGTTAGATAATATATGAATAGGAAGACACCAGTTTACGCAGTTTTTCTTGACTTATCCAGGGCGTTTGACCAGGTTAGGTATGACATTCTGTGGAAAAAACTAAAATTTCAGGTGTGCCTGGTGAGATTATAAACATTCTTAAATATTGGTATGGCCACCAGACTAACCAGGTAAAATGGTTAGATCAGCTTTCTGATGCATACGAGTTGGAGTGTGGGGGTTGGAGGCAGGGTGGCTTGACCTCCCCGACACTTTTTAACTTGTATGTAGACGAGTTGATTGCTGGGCATAGCAACGCCAGTGTCGGCTGTTTCATTGATGGTCACTGTGTAAACAGCATCAGTTAT